AAAATAGTTTTCCTCTAAATATCACTTTCAGCAATCCCTTGAGCAACTGCTCTAAATCAGTAGTTAAACAGTTCAGAGCGTGCGAAAATTATGTTAGCAGTTTGTTAACATTAAAAACACATTCTGGTTTCTTTATTCATTTCCCTCAAACGCAATTAAATCCAAAATTAGAATTTGCAAAAACTGCGTGATATCTTGACGTATTAAAAATTTATTATTAATTTGATAAATACCCGTTTTTTCCCTACTTTGTCTATTTAACATAAGTTAACTTTTAGAAAAGCAATTATCGCCAAATTTTGTCTGCTGCTTGATACTGAATAAATAACAAACTTTTGGAATGCTACTTTTCTGGCATAAAATACCAATCGTTTGTGATTAAAGCGATGAGCCTTTTAATGATTATATATAGATTTAGCCAAGCCTAAAAGCGGACCTCCTGGGCCTGGTTATTCAAAGCCCGGTTAAGCCAACCCAGGATAAGCGAGAATTTTGATTTGAGTTTTGTAACTTTGCTACAAGTTTTTCTGCATATTGTTTGGCCTTCTGTTTTGAGTTTGAACAATCTCAAACTACACTAAACAAAAGCAGTGAAAAACATTTGTACGCATAAAAAATTTATCCTTCAGTTAACGTTTAATCCTAGGTTAGCGTTTACCGGCTTCCGAACAACCCGGCTCTGATTTCAACAAGTTAACCCGACATGAGCCTATGATTAAAACAAAAACACGTGACCTCGATGAGCTTTGAACCTAAGCCCGCGATACTGTCACGTGATACTGGTCAGTGGATACATTTTTTTGACAGGTGTCAATTGACAATAACAGGGATGTCCAATGCTAAAGAAGTCCGCTGTAAACCAAGGCTGTATGACTTGGTATTAGCTGGAGTATGGCCGCCATGATGGGCGACGTCGTCGTTCGTCGTGGTCGTCGTCGCCGTCGAGCGCATGCACCCGCAATCCATGCCGCTAGCCATGCACCCCCGTACCCAGCGTCCTCGTTCGCAAGTCCGCATGGGCAGTAAGGAACGAAGACTCGAGGTACGAGATTGCTAGTCAGGTTGACTGTGAAAAAAGAGTTGCATGGTTCTTTTCGTATAGTTAATGAAGAGACAGATTACAATAGCTTACAATGATTAAGGAAGATAGTATTATCATAATATTATTATCCGTTTCAATTGCTGGTTTTCAGTGTCACGCAATTCAAAATAGATCAAAATAAAAATCAAAACCGGTCAATAGA